CAGGATTGGCAATAGATGTTAGCTCAGAGCCGGTCTTCCTCAGCAAAAAGAGGAGGATTAGCACGGATGTTAGCTCAGGGCTGATCTTCCTCACAATAAATAAATAAATAAATAAATAAATAAAGTTACCAAAAAATCATTCAGACACACGTGATCATGTCTCCAAGTAGCAGCTAGTTTCTGGTAGGAGGTCTTTCCACTGCTGTTGTAAGAATCACAAAGTGATTACTGATTAGCAAATGCCATTTGCATGTAATCGTTTGTTTTCTGTATGTTAAAACTCTGACTTCAAAATTACTTGCTTAGTCAACTATTCGTTTTGGTGCCAAATGCCACCAAAACAAGTGTTTGTTTGAGCCACCCGTTGGGGTTGTCCTACTACGCTATTTTTGGCCAGCATCCTGTTCAAAGCTGAGATCAAATGAAAACAGTGGTCATTCACCTCTTTCTTCTCCTAACTCTGACTCTCTTGATACGAATCCATGCCTGTGGCGTCAATTAGCATTGAAGACCAAAAAGAGGAAAAGCAGGAGGTATTTCATTTGAGAAGAGTCATAATAAAGGAGATTAATTTAGAGGATCCTGAATGTTCTGGAAGCTTCTCTCAGTGGATTTAGGAATAAACAGGAGTGACTGATTTATGGTGATAGATTGAATTTATCAGGTATGAATGATCTGGGATTTGTTTCATCTATACTTCCTGGCATTGAACAATCTAAGACATTTAAATGTAAAGCGTATTAAAATATACGATCTTTAGGTTTTAACTTGAAGTTACAATAAAAAAATGAAAAGTTTCCAGATAATTTTGGACACATCTGGTATGATATTTATAAATAATGCTTACATTTTTTTTGAGATAGGTAATATAAAAGTGTAATATAAAGAAAATTACTTGGAAATAGTCTAAAATCATAACCTTAAAATATTTGATGATCTTTCTATGTGTGTGGAAAAAGAAAGTATATAAAACTCTGTCTTTCTGGGAAGATTAGAAGATTGGAAGATTAAGGCTTCCCAGCATTTCCATTTCAGGTCTTTCTTGTATTTCTTCCTTACTCAGAATGGGAAATTTAAATGATGTAGAAGCAGAAAAAGTTGGGCTCTGCACCAAACAATACTGGCCCTGTTCCTTTTTAGTTCTGTGAATCTGTGCAAAGTACTTGCCCTTTTTGAATCTTAGTTTCTCACTTACCTCCTTCAAGTGTCATGGGTGGTAAAGACAAAATATGTAAAGCATCTAGCATAATACGTGGCACAGAAGCACTCCACTGAGGGGTGTTAATGCTAACAAATTCTTACATTCTAATGTAACAATAATGAAATATTTTTCCACATCAGGAAATAAGTCTGTCCTTTTTCTCCATCCTCCTCCACTTCAACACCCTCACTTCAACCTCTGAGGCTCTGGGATTATAACACCCCTGGGGAGAGAGCTCCACACCATACCTGAGAAGATAGTCTGTGTCGTGACATCAACATCAGGAAGCCTTTGACTCTGGTAATCAGGAATGAAATGCCTCCCGCGTCTAGCAGTGCCTCAGGCCGAGGAATGAGAAATCCAAAATGAAACAGAGAAAGAAAATGTCAGGAAGGAGGAAGGAAGGGAGAGTGAGAAAGAGGGACCAGGGAGAGCAAAGAGGCACAAGGTGAAGCTCCCTCTGGCTTCAGACTTGGCCGCTCCACTGAGTATTTCTTGTTTGTTTTGCTATTGGTTCCGATATGAATTCAGTTGACCCTCAAGGCCATAAATAAATATTCACTTCTGATTACTTTGCTGTAACTGTCTCAGTTTACAAATACCTGAAAGAGAAAGTTTCATTTCAAGTCTATTTAGACATTGTCCTGGTTAATTTAGTTTGTAAATTTCCAAGACCTTTATAATTCCCTGGGAAAAATTCACTTTGGGCAGAAATCCCAAATTTCATCTGATCTAGGTTATGATTATAAAAATCGACTTCCTTATTCCTGGCTCTGTTACAGGGCTTCCCCTTAGCTCTAACAAGAAGACTTCAGAGCAAAAACATGAATCATTACTGACAGCAGATTAAGTGGATATTCTCACACAGTGAGAAGGAATCATTCCTATTTTGTTTGAGGTAAAGCTAACAACAACTCCCAAAATGTTCTCTTTATAATTATTCCCCATTATTTCCTACTATTCTCACTTCACTATCATCAATGTTTTTATTTTTTTTTTCATTCTGTGGGGGATAAGAATTGGCCACCCCAAAATGTGTCTCAACTTTGGCTTGATTATTATTATTATTATTTTTTGTGAGGAAGATCAGCCCTGAGCTAACATCTGTTGCCAATCCTCCTCTTTTTGCTGAGGAAGATTGGCCCTGGGCTAACATCTGTGCCCACCTT